AAGTAATTGCGATTTACGGTTGATTTTTAGAAATTTTGTTTGTTGAAGGTGTTGCTCATTTTCATTATATCATCGAAAATACTTCGTATGGAAGAAAATGTAAAAAAAAAAATTGTCAAAAATCAGCGGTAAGCCCTAGCTACTCCAAACTTGCACTTTGTGACACTAGAATTGAGTGGGCTATAAAACTGCCTCAAAATCTCCCTAAGAAATCTAATTACAAAGCTCGAAATTTACCAGACGCCATACTGGATCCGCCATTTTGAATTTTGAAATTCTGGATTCGTAATTAGTGACCCCGAAAACCCCCTAGTACGAAATTTGGAATCATTTCTTCAAAGCTTCGAATTGTGGCCGCACTTTTGGATTTCGGCCGCACTGTGCGTCGGTTCGAATCCTACTGAAAGAAGTCTGATGAGGAAATGTGGTGATTTCCGAAATAGCTATCACTTCTACCATTTTTTTAAGTTCTTGTTGCATTTCCACAATAAGTTTTTCATTAAAAACGGCCTCAAGCTTAAAGGAAATTGTTGAATATAATTTATACTCTATCGATAGTAACATCCATCCAAATATCAATAACACAACCGATACAAATATCGAAAACTTCGATAAAAATATCGATAACAAAATCGATAACGGTATCGATAGAAACATCGACAAAAATGCCAATAAGAAAATTGATAAAAATATCGAAAAGAAAATCGATAAAAAATATCGATAACAAAATCGATAATAATATCGATATCAAAATCGATAACAAAATCGTTAAAAATATCGACATCGATAAAAATATCGATTATTAGATCGGTAAAAACCGATAAAAATATCGATAACAATATCAATAACAAAATCGATAAAAAATATATATAAAAAAATTGTTAAAATATCGATGTCGATAGAAATATCCATTATCAATAAAAATATCGATAACAAAACCGATAAAAATATCGATTACTATATCGATAAGTTCCGAGAATCCCGAAAATCTCTAAAATCCCGAAATAGTGCCAGATTGAATCTCTGTGTCTCTATCTATGTTCTTTTCTGTATAACTACCTTTCATGTAATTTTTCTTCCTCTATCTTCATCTTTACTTTTATCGGTATCGTCATCCTCATCTTTTTCTTTATATTTATCTTTGGTTTACTTTTATGTTAATCATTTTCTTCATCTACATATTCCCATTCACCTTTGCCATTAGATAAGTAAAGTGTTTAAATTTACCTTGACCTTAATTTTTGCATTTACCTTTACGCATCTTTGTTTTTGTTTTCATTTTTACCTTTGCCTTGATCCTTTTCTTTATCTATGTACGTACTCACCTTTACTTTCATCCTTGTATTGGTCTTTTTCTAAGTGTTATTCTATAACCTTTTATTAGCAAGTTTTTGTTAAATTAATACCATGTGCATACAATCAAGAAGATATTTTTTTTTTCAGCCCCAACCATATCCGAGTGCAATTTCAGTTGCACCATTTCCGTGTGCGCTTTCCGTTGAATTTTCCAATTTACCCCCAACCAACAACCGCCGCACAGTGGGGCAAAAAAGGTTGCTGTGGAAAAATCGATTTTGAGAGCCCAAACATGAACCGATCTCAAGTTTCTTTTTTTTTAAATAAGAGATAAATAAATTTCGCGTCGATCTATCCGTGTCGATTTTTTAAAACGCTATGGTTTTTTATTTATTTATGTTCAAAAATGAAAGAAAATAAAATTTTACGTTTGAATCATGATACAAAAAAGAAGGTAGTTTCAATAAACAACTTTTTGATTAAAAAGCAGATTTTTGACAATTGCTCAATTGTGAAAAATTTGAAGCGGCATTACCCAATTGTAAGTTTTTTGGTGTTTGACATTTTATATCCTAAATTTGGGATTATAAAGTAAATAGTTGTATTAATATATACATTTTAAAACTAATCAATATCTTATTTTGAAAACGTTTAAATTTTACATTAAATTCGATAACAACTTGCCAAATCAATATTTTAATATTCTGAGAAGTTGAGTAAATGAAGTCTAATATTCTTTTTTGGTCAATTACGATGTTTGATTTCATTTTTTGCAATCATTAGTTCATTTCGCTTGAGGAGTCACAATGCCCATACCGGCTTTTTTTGAAATTTCGGACACAAGTTTTCCAATAATGGTTATAGGCTAAAACAAAACCGATATCTAAAGTGCGTGTAGAACCTCCCATAGAAATCGAATTTTTCATAGTGCATATCTCTGGAAGTATTTGTGGTAGAGTCCTGGAACTTTGTATGGATATATGTATATGAAGTCAATCTTAAGCTCATGGAAAAATAAGAGTTTATTGGAAAATGCGGCGTGCCACCGTAGAACTAGGAATAGAGGTAAATGAAATCAATCCCAAACCTATGAAAAATGGGGGTATATGAAAACAATCTCGTAGCCGTTCAAAAGAGCTAGCGGTATAAGCCAAATAAACTAAAATTCTGGTGACGCATAAAAACCTCTGGAAGCATTTACCTAGAATACAGAGATAAGGTATTTTTCCAACGAAAATATGTACAGAAAAACGGGCGCCACACCTTCTGGAAAGTAACATGATCACAGGGTGTATCCCGAAAACCATTTTAAGCTAAACCTTCAGGGATTATATTCTTGCCAAGACCCACAGGCATAAGCCGAAATTGCGTCGCAAGTTTTATGATCGGCTTGGGTAAGGTTTAACGACTTAACCCCCCTTTGTTTTCGTCGCTACTGAATTCTATAAACTGTCAGCTTTCACACAATTTAAAATATACATGTGTATTTAAAAATGTCATGAAAATTGTGTTGCTAGCTTCATGTTGCAAAATGTTTCAATGAAATGTTGTGGAATTTCACACTTATTTCTTGTTTGTTTCTTATTATGCTATGCTTAAGAACAAAATATTTTTAAATCGACAAAACATTAATAAGAAAATTTGAAGGATTTTAGATATTGGGTATGGTAGCACGAAATGTCACAATCTGCTTAATTGTCAGGTTGTTAATACGGCGACGAAAAAGTGACAATGGAACTACCTTGTTTTTTGTATCATGGTTTGAATGCTTCCACTTTTTTGGAAAATACTTGAAATTAATTTCAAATGTCTGCACTTATTTAAAAAATTAATCATTAACATGTTTCCATAGGAAACATTTAATTAAAAAAATATTTTTAATTTGCCATCTATACTGATATATATTTTGAAAGCCGTTTTTTTCTAATCGAAAAACTCGAGAAAAGGTGTACCGATATTTTTGAAATTTTGGACCTCGACTCTAGACCCTCAAAGGATGATAGTAGAAGAAGAATAATTTCAATATATCAAGGGGGCGTGGCACCTGCCTTACAAACTAAAGTTTTCACACAACATATCTCTGGAAGTATTCCTCGTAGAGTGCCGCAACTTAGTATAGAGTTATATAATATCAACGCCAAACTCATGGAAAAATGGGAGTTATTGAAAAAGTGGGCGTGGCACCTCCCATACAAACTGAATTTCTGACATTAGAATGTGTATATGGTGTGAGAAATTCAGTTTGTATGGGAGGTGCCACGCCCACTTTTTCAATAACTCCCATTTTTTCCATAAGTTTGGCGTTGGTAAAATATATCTTTGTACTAAATTGCAGCACTCGACGATAAATATTTCCAGAGATATGCTGTCTGAAAACTTCAATTTGTATGGGAGGTGCCACGCCCTCTTGATATATCGAAATCGTTTTTGATCTATTATCAGCCTTGGATAGTCTGGAGTCGATGCCTAAAATTTCAAAAATGTCGGTACAGCTCTTCTCGAGTTTTTCGAACAGAAAAAAACGAAAAAAAGAGCTTTCAAAATATATATTTGTATAAATAGCAAATGAAATACAATTTTTAATAAAATCGATCCTATGGAAAAGTTTTAATGAAAATTTATTTATATAATTGCAGACATTTGAAATTAATTTCAAGTATTTTCCAAAAGAGTGGAAGCGTTCAAACGTAAACTTTTTTTCTTTCATTTTTGAACATAAATAAATAAAACAACACAGCCTTTTTAAAAATCACCACGGATAGATCGACGCGAAATTTAATTATCTTTTATTTAAAAAAAAGAAACTTGAAATCGCTTCATATTTGGGCTCCCAAAATTAATTTGTCCACAGCAACCTTTTTTGCCCCACTGTGCGCCGCTATAGAAGTTTCTCTTCAAATATGAAATCTACACATGGTGGAATAATAACACCATGAAATCTACAAATCAAAAGAAAATTTAATGAAACAACAAAACAAAAATACTAATAATTAAAAAAGGAAAACGATAATTTTCAGCAGTAGGGCTCGAACTGGGATCTCTCGAATGGTACGCCGTGCTCTACTCACTGGACCACCGCGGCTGTTGAGGTAGTGCGCGTAAAATGACATAAATACTTATTTTTAAAATTGATTTCAAACTGAACGAAAAAAGGTGGGTGATGCCATAAAAAAAGGGCCGCCACTGGTCCCATACTTAAATTTGATAAGCTCTTATCTTTTAACTCTGAGAGGAAACATTAATTAATATATTTAACGATCATTAGTTAAGTGCCCGTTAGAGCTAATGTTTGTTTCTGAGTGCGGCTTATTAAAATACATTGGCTTCGCTGTCTTGGTCATGTCGTACGAACGGACAGAAATGCTACAGTTCTGAAAGTATTAAAGGCATGCTGGTAGCAGAGGAAGAGGAGGTCCTCTTCTGCGATGGAGAGGCCAGGTGGAGAAGAACTTGGCTTCACTTGGCATTTCCACTGGAGAGAAACGACTGGCATGCTTTGTTGGACTCGGTTAGAATCGCTTAGGCGGTTACAGCGCCAATCAAAAAGAAAAATAGGTGGTAGATGTGGCAGAAATGCAATTTATAAACAAGTAATACAACCGATTTCAATGCTCATATACAAATGTAAGAGTACAGTTTTACGCCGGCTCCGAACAAAACTGAAAGTTGATAAATTTAATACATGTGTATTTTTAATTATCTAGGTTCCAGGTGGAATGAAACGGCGGGTACTTCGCTGGTACGACTACAGCTGGTCTAGAGGTCGTATTCAAGGAGGAGGTGACATAAACACAGCTTTAGGCCTATTGCCAGATAAGCTAAAAACAGAACTAGCATTACATGTTAACCTGAGTGTCTTAAAAAAAGTCACCATATTTCAAGAGTGCCAACCAGAATTTTTACATGATTTAGTTTTGAAAATGAAAGCTTACATTTTTACACCTGGAGATTCCATTTGTCGGAAAGGCGAAGTGGCGAGAGAAATGTTTATAATAGCTGATGGCATATTAGAAGTACTTAGTGAAACAGGAAAAGTATTGACAACAATGAAGGCTGGGGACTTTTTTGGCGAAATTGGAATTTTAAACTTGGATGGCCTTAATAAGTCTGTGAAAATATATAAATTAACTCTTAGTCAGCTTATTTAATGATTTCATTATTTAGGCGCACTGCTGATGTTAGATCTGTGGGTTACTCGGAGCTGTTTTCACTATCTAGGGAAGATGTACTTGCCGCTATGAAAGACTACCCAGAAGCACAAGAAATTTTGCAAACTCTAGGTCGGAAGCGGCTCATGGAAGTTCGGTGTGTAAATAAGAAGTACGGGAAAGCACAAAGCACAAAAGATCAATCGGAACAAAATGTATATAGCAATATTAATCGAAGCGATAGCAGCGAAAACAGTGCCTCAAAAAAAATTGTGTACAAACTAAGAAACGATGTAAAAGGAATTCGGAGCATGCTCAAAAATACAAGGTAAGATGCCACTAAAAATTTTAAAATATCTTACTTGTAGTTTTTTATACAACATTTTAATAGTAATTATGTACAAACTAAAACTAATTGTTTTGATGGCCAAAGCTACAACGGTCACGATTTCCCAACAGCCTCTGAAAAGCATGAGGTAATTTAGTCAAATTAGTGTCGAAATAATGCAATACTTGATTTGTGATGGAATTGTTCTGGCAGTATGGGAAGCATCCCCATTAAAATACTTTCCTCTCAGATAGTATACATTCATGCGGGTGTTTAGAGGCTACATTTTTGTGTGCATATAGTTCGGTTTTTATTCCCGTAGCTTCAGTAATTTTAGCCTCACTTATAACCCCTTAACGATACAAGATATGTTTTTCGACAGATATCCAAAAACTAGAACAAAAGTAAAAGTATTATGCACTTTTCATTAAGCGGGAGAAGGTATAAAGAAAAGGGGCGAAAATTAATTTAATAAAAAAAATAAAACAAATAAATTATAATTATCCAAAAGCTAAGGATTTTACTAAAAAAAAAATTAAATTAAATAGGTACTCCACTCTAGTATGTGAACAAATTGTGAAGGACAAGGGCACCCTGAAATTGTGCATATGGAAACTGTGCATACTAAATAATGCAAAAAAAAACGCGAAATAATGCATACGAAAAAAACTTAAATAATGCGATATACTGCATTCATGCACAGTTTCGGCTGCAACTCGAACTTACGTTTTATAAATGGTCTATAAGTTGTAAAGTGAAATAAGAAACTGAACTTCTTCCTGCGAATCGGCCTTCGGCCGCGCTTAGAGATTATAACCCTTCCTAAGTAGAATTCTCCTTTCTGTGTTGCGGGAAAAGATGGCGGAACTTCGTCCTGCGTAGGCGGCCTCGGTCGCGCTTAAGGATTATAAACTTTACGAACTACAATTCTCCTTTCTGTGTTGCTGGAAAAGACGGGCAGAAATATTTTTGTGCGGACCCTTACTAAGTAGAATTCACCTTTCTGTGTTGTCGGAAAAGTGCGGCGGAAATATTTCTGAGCAGAGCTTTGTTCTGCGTAAGCGGCCTTCGGCCCCGCTTAAGGATTATAACTCTTACTAAGTAGAATTCTCCTTTCTTTGTTGCCGACAAAGAGCAGCGGAAGTATTTTTGCGCAGCACTTCTTTCTGCGTAGGCGGCCTCCGCCGCGCTTAGGGATCATAACCCTTGTTATGAACCCCAAGGCTCACAGCTCAACTGCCATCCTAACGAACAGCAGCCGACGATTCTGTTCCTTAGTCATGACAGCTAGGCAGTGTGCACTGGCCTGTCCCGGAGCTACAGCTTCGTGGGTTCCTACATAGCCACTGTGACAAGAATCGTCTCGAACGCCATGAACAAGGGTCAGGCCACAAACAAATTATTTATTGGCACACTGAGAGAAAAGAGGAAATAAAATCACGTAAAAACCTATCAAAATTTTGCACCAGTCATCATGTACCATACCACAATCCTAAGACTACCCATATCCAAATGATCAGCAGCGCCGCATCTGTTTGGGCTGCTCTCGTCCCTCCCTTCCATTGGCTTTAATGATGTTACGAAGCCCCTCTTTTCTGCCAACCTAGCACTTAGCTTTCAGACCAAAATAAGTTTATTTAGAAATCCATAATATGCAAGCAAATTTATTTATAATTCAGATTATATCTAACATGATCTTAAGTTTAGTAGGTAGCTAACCCTAGAAATATAAAATTCACGAAAGTTTAAGATATTTTGTTATACTTAGATTGACTAACGGAAAATATTAAATGGTATAAAATTCTTTTTAACGTTTTTTTATAGTGTACAAAAAAAATCTGACTTAAGCAAGTTTAAACCATAATTTTAAGACTTATGCTGAGAGCGGATAATTTATCCGGTGAACTAGTTCTGGAGAGATTCAAACCAAGAGACATCAAGTGTATAAATTCTGTACCTTGGCATTGAAATTGGGGGTATATAAGCTTACTATATATGAACGTACATAGGTGCATCCAAAAATATTAACAATAACTAGAATAGAGAGAGGAAAAAATACAATAACAAGACTTACGATTCACTCCTTGATGCACTGCTGCGATGAAGGCCTCCAAACGTAGCGACGGTCAGGTGGTCGTTGTTATTATTGGCTTTTTACTCTTGTTGAATACATATGTACATATGTGTATTTAGCTAAATTTAGAGTATTATTATTAGTGAGAGTTACAAAATTCCACTATTTCATGCATAAATACGTACATACATATCTAAACTTCCATGAACGATTTTACATTCTCTGTACTGACTATTCTTTGCTTTTCAGTACATATATACCTATTGTTATTCCTGTTTCATTATTTGCTTTAAGTTTATTGGACTGAATTCTCTTACGTTTTCTTTTCTCTAGAGTTTGTTTCTTATCTAATTTTCCATTCTCTGAGATCTTATGTTTTAAATATGATTTATTCATCACTTAATTTTAATCTACGGTTCTATCTCTATTCCAACAGAAGTTATAAATGTACGGACACTATAATGAAGTTGTAGCTCGACACCTGGGCAGGTATGCAGATTACGATTTTCTTTGTCAACAATGCGAAGCGAAATGTGGGTTGTTAAACGAGTAACAGAACATGAGATTTTAACTTAACTCTGATACCGCTTTATGCATGATAATTCGTATAAATATGGTCAATCGAATGGGGTTTTAGGGATATCCCTATTAAAAGCTACATCTCCACAATTAGAAGTCCTTGGGTATTCCTACAGTAGAAACGATGTAAAATCTACGATATACTTGTATTTTGCCGAGCGAATGAAATTGAACAGCTTCGTAGTCCATAGATTAGAAAATTTGGGAAAAAGTTGCAATTAGGAAAACTGTCTTATCGCTTTTGACATAAAAATGTGAGGACCGCAATTTTTCGAGCCAAGTATACTTCTAGGCAGGTTAAATGCTATACCCATTTTTTTTTCGATCCCTACCGGTATCCAGAAGTCCTGATTCTTTTAATTTCGTTGGGATGACCCCTTTTTTATTTTAAATTTTATATTTTTTTTAAACGTAAACCAGATAATTTTCAACGTTAATACTTTATTAGCCGAAGCTTTCTCTTTGATCGCCGAAATCCAAGAAAGCCTCCGGAAGTTATCAGCCGACCCTCTTGGGTTCCCCTCTGAACCTCTAACTTCTCGTGCAACTCTGTAGTTCACTCTTATACCTTTTAATTACTGGTTATGCGTTCTGAAATTAGCGTCAATAAATGGACAGTAGTGGCACATAAATTGTAAACGGCTAATTACTCTTAAGGTATCGAAAATATAAAATGAATGATATACATATACATACATGCATCTATATACTCAGAAGTTAAAAAAATCAAACTGAGAGAGGGGAAGAGGACAGAGAGAAAGGAAGGCATGAATATCAAGTAAATGTGTTTATAAATAGAAGCTGGGTTATGCAAGACTTACACCCGATTTACATGATTCAAGTACTTGAAAGCAATTCTTGCTCATTCTCTTTTGTGTTTTCTATTTGCTTTTAGACGTTTCAATTCTGTTGAATTCAAGTTTTTGGTTCTTTAAATGGGAAGCAACGAAAATGCCAAAAGCAAAGCAAGAAAGTTGAAACGACTTGACGGTACAGACGCATGTGTACTCGTCCCTTTTCTTCTCACCCCCTCTCTTCCACATGCGAGCAGAATTGAATTCAATACTTGAACTGTGTAAAAGCAGTCTTATTTTACGTTCAAATTGGCCCCATTTAACTTGTTAAATGAAAAAGAGCTTTTTGGAAAACACAATCGTCCACATTGAACATTTGGAGTTAACTTTGACGGTTGTTTGATTACCAATAAAAATTCAAAAAAAAATATTCAAAATCAAGTTTTTGTGTTTCAATTTGTTTTGTGCGAATGCCTGCTTCATGATATTAACGCATACGGGTAACTTAGACGCTTCAAAATGTTTAGTTCGTATGCACTATTTATCTCTGCGTTCGATGAGACCTTTTGGAAAATAACTAATTACCGCCTTGGCTTCTTTTTTGGCGGGCAGACATGCATACAATTTTGATATTTTTTGATAATTTTTAATTTTTAATATTTTTCAGAATATAAATTTTTTGAACGTTGGCGTGTCAAATGAAAGCTTTTGCGTCTTTCTGATTGGTCGGAGCAGAAAGCTTTCTGATACAACTCTGCCCCGAACTGGCTTTCAAACGAGTTAAATTATTTAACTGTTTCAATTTTGCAACAACAATTGCATGCCATTTAACTTGTTTATGAACATGTTTTGTTCATTTAACTGGTTGAAGCGCATTTAACATGTTTAGTGCGTCAATTTGAACGTAGTATTAGACTTGACTTGACCAAAGGTGCTGGCCCAATGAAGGCTTGCTTTGCTTGCTTCGCTGCGAGAAGTGTCAAAAATTATTTGGAATATACTAAAACGTATAAAGGCTGGCCAAATGGCAGCTTTTCTTCACTTGCTTTAAGCGCCTTAAAATTTGAAATAGGCAAATATTTTATTTGAAAGCGTTTTGTAGGCTTTTGACACAGAGGTATGTTCCTTTCAAAATACATANGAAGCCCATTTAACATGTTTAGTGCGTCAATTTGAACGTAGTATTAGACTTGACTTGACCAAAGGTGCTGGCCCAATGAAGGCTTGCTTTGCTTGCTTCGCTGCGAGAAGTGTCAAAAATTATTTGGAATATACTAAAACGTATAAAGGCTGGCCAAATGGCAGCTTTTCTTCACTTGCTTTAAGCGCCTTAAAATTTGAAATAGGCAAATATTTTATTTGAAAGCGTTTTGTAGGCTTTTGACACAGAGGTATGTTCCTTTCAAAATACATAAATTCAAACAAAAATTTGCTTACTTAATTTAAAAAAGTCACAGAAAATGCAGGTAATTCCAAATGAAATAAAAATGATTCATTGTTTCCATATTTATATTAAACATATCGTTATCTTATAGTAAAAAGTTGCGAAGCCC